GCGAGCTCTTCGACGCCGCCAACATCCAGGGCGGCACCGTCCCAGTCCCGGACAGCACACAGAGCGAATACGTCCGGCACGTGCAGCTGAAGCCTTCCGAAGACCAGAAGGCCAAGCTTCAAAGCATCCTGGAGAAGGTCCTGCTGCACATCCCGGTGTACCTGATTGACAACACAGACACTGAGCAGGATCCCCTGATCAGTTGGCTGCTAGAACAACCGTCCGTCCACCTAGGCGAGAGGTCAAACTAGCGAGCAGCGACCTGCCGAAAAGGGGCCGAAAGGCCAAGCGAAGGCCGGCCCGGACAGCCTATATAGTGGCCAAGTGTACAGAAGCCGTCCGGCAGCGGGCCCGCCAGGACAGCAAGGACACGGCGACAGCCACCTCCCCGCCCGCCCCCCCCCCCCCCTCCTCACTGCCCCTCACTTGCCCACACTGAGAGCAGGCGTCGGCACGGAGGCAAACAGAAAAAGGCGCACCGGATAGACCCTCGCCAAACAGAAGCCTGCAGGAGCTAGCGACATGAGCACAGGCCAGCAACGCAACCTCCTCGAGACAGCGACAAGCCAAGGCTCAAGCCCGCACCAGCAGCGCAGTGGAAGTCCCAGAGAAAGCATGGCCCGCAAGAACTCCCCCGCGCACTGGCTACGCATCCTGGAGATCATCAACGAAGCGAACAGAGGAGGCGGAGAGCAAGATGAGAAGAAACTTTCCCGCGAGATCGACGAGGACAGCAGCGAAGGGGAAGAAGAAGACGAAGAGCAAAAAAAAGAGCGCGGAAACGACGGCAGCTTCCGCTGCCCACCAGAATCAGAGTCCCCCCGGCAAGAGATCTGCGAGGGGCCCCTCGCAAGACCACCGGTGCCTGAAGACGAAGACATGGCCCGCCTGATACAAGAGGAAAGAGCGCAGCTGCAAGGCTTCCTGTGCAGGGAGAATTGCCCACCAAATGCCCTCATGCGAGAGTGGCTCCTCAAAGCGGCAATCGAGCCAGACACAGAGACCCAGCGACGATTCGGGCAGGTGATGAGACAGATGAACTGGACGTACGCAAATCTGGGCTGGTTTCACTACCGGTCCATCCTCAACCTTTGGCGTTCCGGCACAGCGGCGCCTGAGGACGCCTACGACGCACAGCGCGAAGCCGGCATAAAGCTCTACGGACGAGGCGGAAGACAATGCATGCAGTTCAACTACTACGTTCTCCACTACACGATGTGCGGAGAGGACTTCACCCGAAGACCTCCCCTGGCAGCCTGGGGTTTTACCAGCGAAATCCAGCTCGTGTGGGACGGCATCGGCTCCTGGCACGCGTAGCAGTGTAGGAGCCAGGAGGGACACGGACAGACTCCGGCACCGGACGCCGCTGCAGGAGGCGAGGAAAAAAGGCAGCTGTGTGCCGAGCACTCGCAGTGCATAGCCACGCAACCACGACGCCGAGAACCGCAACCGCAGCACCGTTGGCACGAGCAGCAGAATGAAGGCGCAACCCGCAGGGCAGCAGCGCCCGCCCGGTCATGGAAGAGGCACAACCAGTGCCCGGGCTATAAGCGATCGCAAGCCCCAAAGTCCGAAGACCCGACTGCATCCAAGGACAAGCCACACAAGGCGGCAAAGCTAACGGCGACCGGCTGCCCTGCAACAGCCGAGGAAGTCGGCCACCCGGCAGCACGATTCAGCCGCACCGAACAAGAGCACCATGCACCCCAAATGCCCAGGCGAACAGCATCCACCGCGGACACCGGACGCCCGTCCACGAGACCGGGCTCGACGCATCGTGCTACACTGGCACCTCGAACCAGGACTGCATCAGCGACTCCAAGCAGAGCTCTGGCACCAGGCTTGCCAAACGTGGTGGCGAAGCTGGAAGGCCGACGGCTGTCCCGCGAGCTACACGCAAGAGGCCAAAGCGGGCATGATCCGGATCGCGGCCCACCACGCACAACATCCGGCCCGCATGATCTCGACAAGCAACACCTTCGCCAGTCCTTCCATCCGGCTGGAACTTCGGAAAGCGCAGATCATCCTGCTGGAGGCTTCCGAAAGCGACATGCGCAACACACTCGGGACCATCGCAGCAGCACGCCGGAAGCCCGTGAAATAGACGCGGCGGCGCCGGCAAACAGAAGAGAGCAGCCGTCTCCTCGCCAGAACAGGAAAAGCGGAAATGAAGTTTGGTTCACCGCGCATGGATGCGACCAGGGAGACACAGCGCACACGCTGCAACCCGCGATCGGACGCAACCACAGCGCGTCCCCGCAGCCACACACCAGCCATCAAGGTAGAATCTCGCCAAGAAAGACCTTAACGCCATGGCTCCCGTGAAATCGGCGACTCGGAGTAAAGATGGTTCTATGCTCGGGAAAAGATCCTGCGACAGCACACAGCTCCCGAGCAGCAAGCTGAAGCCAGCCAAGCCAAGCCGCCCGATCCAAGGCAGAAGCAGCGACGAGAACCGCCACGGCGGGCACAACATGTCCCGGAAGCCTGCCACCCGCACCGAAGGAGCAAGCGCCGGATTGCCGCCCCACGCAGCCGACGACCGCCGCCGGAACCCCAGAGACAGCAAGCTTCGGTCGTGGCAAGCTATGAGCACCACTGCCGCCACCGAGGACACACAAGCAGAGGCCCCGCAACAAGACGACGAGCTGACCGCGACGGCGAAGGCCACGCTGCAAGCGCCTCCGTCCACAAAAGAAGAAGCCGCAGGGGAAGCCCCGGAAGCCCCGGAAACCCCGGAAGCCGCGAAAGCAGCGGGTGCCGCGTCCCCGACACCCAGGTGACGCTGCAACAGGACGTTATGGATGACGAAGAACAGAAGACGACTCCAGAGAAGACACCGACGCTCGGAGACCGGATCATGGTGACGCAAGAAGCCTGGTTGGCGCTCCTGCTGAATGGATGGAAGACCATGGAAGTCCGCAGCAGTCCGGCGCCGCCAGGACCCATCTGGCTGGGCCACGCCGGCCGCTTCTACGGCTCCGCAACAATTAGCGAGTGCCGGAAGCTGGCACCGGAGGATTTCGAAAGCACCAGGGATCAGCACCGGCACGTGGGCCGAATCAACCAGGACGACACGCGGTACGGCTTGCTGCTGACGGACGTCGTCCCGCTAGCACAGCCAAGAGACTTCTACCGCCCCCCAACTTCAAAATCCTGGGAGGTCTTCCGCAACGGGCCGGAAGAGAAAGCCCCCCGCAAAAAGAACCACAAAACGCCGGGGACCCTAGACAACGCCCTGCGAGATCGGACAGAGGGCGGCGAAGGTGCAGAAGATAAGGCCGTCGAACCATCTCCAGGCGAGGCCATGCCCCGCCGGAAGCGCCAACGCCGCGTGCCAGCTCTCCCACTTCCATGACCAATATGGAAATCGCCGGCCAGTACAACTGAGCGCAAAGCGGTAGGTCTTTTCAGAAAGCACCAGGAGTGAGCTCGCCAGGCAAAGCGGCCCGAACCCCGCGGCCCGAGCTACGACGCCGAGCCTGAGCACGGACAAAAAGCCCGGTGCAGATGGCGAGAGGCACGGCGCGGCCCTGCGACAACAGGACACAGAGGCAAGCACGACATGAGGAGCACCGACCGCAGCTGTTCCCATAACAGGGCGGGTAGCCGAGAGCGCACAGGCCCCGAGTCCAGCCAGCACGGCATGACTCGCAAGGAACACGGCAGCCGCGCCATGCCCCGACGGACGCCGTGGGCAGACATGGAGGACGGCAACAGAGACCCGGGGGCCTAATAAGCACCTCCGACTGCACCGTGCCAAGGATAGCAGCAACACGGAGACTGCCCGCGCCCCAGCTCCATCGGCCGCACACGCAGCCTCGGCAAGCGAGCTTCGCTCATCAGGCAGAGAAAACGTCCGCAGCATCGGCACGGACCAGCGAGGACCCGCGGACGGAACCGCACGTCAGAGACGCAGGACATTGCGAACAGAGGGCAGAAGAGAAACGAGCCGCCAGGAGCAACAGGCCGAGAACGACGTGAAAGCCTCGCAGCCCCAGAAGTGGATGGCGGAGCAGAAGACACGCTGCAGCCGCAAGAAAGAGAGCCAGCAGCGGCAAGGCTCTCAGGCGAGAGGCGGCCCCTGAGAGCGAACGCATCTCTGTCTGCTCGAGCCTCAGGAACGCCACCAGGACCTTTTCCGACGCCACGCAACACCAGACGATCCCAATCCAACCCTTCGCGGCCGGCGCCGACGCGGCACGGAGCCCCTGCCTCAGGACCCTGCATATAGCATCGGCCTCAGAAGCCCAGCGCCAAGCCCCAGAAACACCGCGCCTGCTGCGACCGAAGGCGAGCCGCAGCAACCTGACGGGCAAGCCTACTACTACAGCCTACACGAAGAAGTCCAGCAATTCGTCCAGGCAGTCATGTACCACGAGCTGGAGCAAGAACAGCTCAAGTGGTGGCAGGACACCCTCAAAGAACGATGCCGCTACCACCGCTTCCCGTGTCGAACCTGGTTCGAGCTCGTCTACAAGTGGCAGCCAGTACTAGCGCCACCACAACCAGCAAGCAGCGCCAGAGCAGAAGGGGATCGAGCACAGCCGCTGGCAGCAGACGGCCCGCCCCAACCGCAAAGCTCGCAAGCCCGGCCAACGCCGCAATCCTACAGCATCCCGTGCTACGTCCCCATCATGCTGAACTACGAGCACGACGGCTGCCCCGGGCAAAAACCCAGCATAAGCCTGCACCGAGTCTAGCGCCGGCACAGACCCCTGAGAGCTAGCGCAGACTGTACAGTAATGGGCAACAGCACGCGAGAGACAGAAAAAAGGGCGGCCGCGGGGCAGGATGCAGGGCCAGCAGAGGAAGGGCGCCGCACGCATGACAGCGCCAGGGCCAGAATAAGACCTAGGCAGCCGCGCCCTCGACGCAAAGACACCGTAGCTAGGAGGCCTGCCAGGCGACGGCACCACCCAGCACCGCCGCCGCCGCCATAAGCTCCGCGCACTGCCACGCCACCACGGCCCCACCGTACAATCGCCCACGCAAAGCACATGGAGGCCGACGTCCCCTGCCACGAGCAGTCCAGCACGGAGACGGAGAACGCAGACGCGGAGCCCCAGCACGAAGAGCACAAGGTCAGCCTGCTCACCGAGGGCCTAGATCACCTGCTGCCGCTCAACCTGGTCAGAAGCCCAAACGCACCGACAGACTTCCCAGCTCGCGGAGAAGGACCATTGCCGCCAGACCTACCAGGCAACTTCGTTGCGGACAGGCTCCAGCACGTGAACGCCCACACGAGAGATGTGAACCTTCGCTTCGACGAGACAACACACACCTACTTCTGGAAGACCAGACGCGTGCGAGAGTCCGTGACGCAGGTAATCCACGGATACGCCGCGGGATTCGACGCGGACAAGACGCTCCAAAACATGATGGAAGGCGCCCACTGGCCCAGAGCCGGCTACCTCAGCATCACCCCGCCACCGGACGTGAGAGACAAGATCGGCCAACTGGCCAGGGGCCCCCGCATCCTGGCGATGCTCGAACAGAGCGACCAGGACGACGGGGAACTGGACCGAGAACTGCAGGAGGCCCTCCAGCAGGCAGGCCCGCCACACGCAGCCGCGCTGCGCGCCCTCGCTATGCCGAGTGACGACGTGAAACGAAAATGGGAAGCCGCCCGCGACAAAGCAGCCAAAGAAGGGACGTGGATGCACGCCCAGTTCGAGTGCCTGCTGAACGGAGGGACTGTCAAGGCGATGACACCGGAGATAAGCCTGCTCTTCAAGTTCCTAGACAGCGTGCGACACGCGACGGCCTACAGAACGGAATGGAAGATCTACGCCGACGACATCGACGTAGCCGGCAGCATCGACCTCGTCCTACAGCAGGCCGACGGCAGCCTGGCTCTCGTGGATTGGAAGCGGAGCAGCAGAATAGCAAGCCGAGGAGAGCACTTCAACCGCTACATGAAACCCCCTCTGCAGCACCTGGGCGACAGCAGCCTCACCCACTACCACCTGCAGATCAACATGTACCGATGGATCCTGCAGAGGCACTACCGGAAGATCGTGACAGAGATGTACATCGTTGGAACGCACCCCGACAACGGCCAGGAACCGTGGGTGCAGCAGGTCGAGCTACTAGACAAGGAGATCGCAGACCTCGTAAAGGACAGAAGCAGGGTGCACGACAACGTGCGGGACGAACACACAGACTAGTGCCGGACACTCGCAAGCCTCGGGCGCCAAAAGGAGGGAAAAAGTGCGAGCGTGGTCACAGGAGCACCGCATGCAAGAAAGATAGGACGGAGGCGAGCACGAACCGCACGACGAAGAGCTGGCGGACAGGCACACCAAGAGCCCTCGACGCCCCAAACAATGCCGCAAGCAACAGGGCTCGAATCCGAGCGGAAGCGATCGGCGGCCATGGCCTTGCAGCCCTCAGAGGACGCAAGCGTAGGCTCCACGAAGCGGAAAAGCCAGGAGCTCCTTCTCCTACGCGTGGTCAATCTTGCCGGTCAACAACTGCTGGAAGCCACGCTCGAGGCGCCGGAACAAGCGCGAGTGGTCAAAGGCCGGCTACAGAGAGAGACAGGACTCCCACGCTTTCGGCAGAAACTGCTGGGGCCAGACGGTCCCCTGGACGACGAGGCTCTCATATCCGCCCCCGCCGACCTGCAGATGATCAAACTACAGTACACCCAGGCCGACCACAAAACCACGGCAGAAATGATCGCGGCCGCACGAAGCTCCAACACGTTCAGGCTAGAGCAACTCCTGAGCCGCCCGCTGGACCCGAACTGCATCAAGACGTTCCCCACGACGACGCCCCTGCAAGCCGCAACCAAAGCAAATCGCACGGAAAACATGAAACTCCTGCTCGAAGCTCGGGTCAACGCCAACACGGACGAAGACCACGGCCTGCTGCGGCAGGCAGCACAGCGACAACAAGAAGGGACAGTGGAGCTCTTGATCGCAGCCCGCTGCCACTTGGAAACGCGCAACCGCAATGGTACAACGGCCCTCGCAGCAGCAGCACGCAAGAGCAGTACCGCGATAGTACGCAAGCTCTTGAATGCCAGGGCCGACATGGAAGCCCCGAACGCCAACCGACGCAGACCGCTCGCCCTGGCCGCATGGGGAGGTCATACGACAAACGTGATGATGCTCCTCCAGGCCCGCTGCAACCCGCTGCTAGCGGAGCCGGGAAACCCGGACGCGATGCCCACATCAACAGCAAAGCTCCTTTTCCAGAGAGCACTCGGGAACGCAGGCAGAAGAAACATGCAGGAAGCACTTGCAGACCAACAACTATGGCGCCGCAACCAGGCAAACAAGGAAGCGGCGAAACTCACACCGACCGCCCAGACCGACCGCGAGCACAGCTCCTCAGCGCCGACACCGGCCATCAGCATCGCCCATGCGGTGCAATAGCAGCTCCAAAGCAGACACGACACCAGGAGGCCGATCGCTTTTGCAGACAAGCAAAAGCAGCACAGGTCGCGGCCGAGACCGTGGGGGACAGACTGAACGGAGAGCCTACATGCGACACCGAAAAAACCGTGCCTGGCTGGCTGGCTGGCTGGCTGGCTGGCTAGCAAGCTGCGGGACGGGCTGGATCGGCATGCAGGGCACCCGCCCAGGCAGAACACGGACCCGCACGAGCCAGCGGGCACGATTCGCTGCAAAGACCATGGCGAGGGATGGCAGAAGGAAAACAGCGCACAGGTCGAACCCCAAACAGACCCGGCTAGCATGCCAGCGAGGTAGCCTTGCACGAATGCCCAACACATCCCGCCCCAACAGCATCTCCTCGCACGCGGCCGCCGCAGCATCTTCTCTCGAACGGTTGCGCTCGCCCGTGCTCCCGCGCAGACCTCAGCACGCGCACGTCGCCGCAGATGAAACGCGGCGGGCGTCCAGCAACCGGTGCTCCTGAGGCCGACCGCCACGACCAGGATGTCCGACGACATGGACGAGGAATCCCCCTCCTCGAACCCCTCCACCCGCGACTCCGACCAGGTGTGCTTCACGGACGACTACGAGAACTCGGAAATGGAGAGCAGCCGCAAGAAGATGCAGAGACAGACCGACGAAGACATCCAGAGCTTCGAGGACGCAATCATGCCGAACATGACGGTGACCTACACGGACGCAAAAGGCGGTGAACTCCACACCTCGAGACCCTACCCAAGCTACCGTTTTCGCGAGCAGGCCCCCTTGCAACCAGGGAACCATCGGGACCGGTTTCTATCCCTCCAGGAGCTACGCACAATACGGCAGCACACCAACAAGCCCTCGCCCGCAGAGGTGCTACGGCATCGCAGCCCCCGAGAAGTCCTGCTCCACGACCTGGACAGCAGCAGCACCGGGCCGATCGACCTGCATGCCACCAAGCTGATGTTAGACGGGAACGTGATCACAGACGACTGGAGCTGGAGCAACATCCTCGAGCACAGCATCACCGCCCAGATGGCACACGTGGAAGTTGTCGTCCACTGGAAGGAAGCCAGCCGCCGGAAACCGAAAAGGCCGCCGAGCCCCAAGCCCGGGCCACGTGCATCGACTCGTAGACGTAAGTGAAAGGCAGTAGGTGCCGTGTGCACAGGCCGGCCGAGCACCAGCGTCTCGAGCACCAGCTACACTAGGGGACCGAGCGGCAAGCGCACGATGTACAGCACCCCCGGAGACCAGAAGAGCCGCAGCAAGGCAAAAAAGGGGAGAGCCGGCAGCAGGCGCACGGTCATGCCCAGCATAGGCGCCAAAGCACTCGCCGAACCGCACAAGCCAGACTTGGAGCCGCTGCACGACCAGACGCACGCAGGCCTGCTCGCAGTCATATGTCAGCCGGCCCAGGCAAGAGCGCGACCGGACACCTCGGGCCGCGGCCACCATTCGCCAGCAGCAAGTCAGCAAGGCGGCAACAGGCTCACAGCTCAACGACAAGCAACCCGGCACGACGGCAAAGCCACAGGAACGATGTACTCACACGCATAGCAGCACCTGTAGCGAGCATGTCCCACAAACATACGGAGGGCCGGTCACCCTAAAGCACACGGGTGCCTACAACCGCAGAGCACCCCGGACACGCCATGGCCGATGCTGCGAAGACGAAGACTCCCAGACCGGGGCCGTTTGCACGACGAACACTGAAGAAAGCATCGTCGCCAGGGCCTTTGCGCATCACCATGCTGAGTGGAGAACTCCTGGGCGAAACAGACGCACGGCGGCATCGGACAGCAAGGAAGCTGGCGACGTACGTAGGGGAGTACTGCTGCGCCACGCCGGCACCGAAGCAGACCATAAGGCTACTGCACGCCGGACGAAGGCTGCAGGGCGGGAGACTACGCATCGATGCCACATCAACCGTGCAGGCCGTCTTCCTGCCCTACGTCCAGATACACGACGGCTCGAGGGAGTCGGAAGACTTCCGCTTGGCCCTGTGGAACAGAAACACCTCGAAGCTGAAAAAAATACTTTGGCGGCCACTGGACCCCAACACCGTCTTCCAGCAATTCTACCCGACGCCGACTTCGGGACTGGAACTTCTCATGCTGAACCAGAACAGACCCTGGTCGCTGCCTGCCCTACGAACGTTGCTGGAAGCCAAAGCAAAACTGGACCGACCCGAAAACAAAGACGTGCTGGCCCTCGCCGTGAGATATGCGCCAAGCAGCCACGTGGAGACGCTCCTAAAGCACCGGGCCGACCTGGGCGGCTCCGCGGATCCCTGGCGGCCCCTGGACATAGCATGCCACGACCACCCCGAAAACCTGCTACAGGGCCGTCCACATCCAGGCAAGATCACGATGCTGCTGGCAGCCCGAGCCGATCCCACGCGAATGCTCGAGGACCCGACCAGCTGGGCCCAAAACCCAAGCCACCCAGACTGGTCCTACGGAGCCAACCCTCGAAGCCTAGCAACCCTCGTGGCCCTAGCCTGCGCAGCAGCAGCTCACTCAGACCCGGAGTGCATGCAGCAAGTCGCGCGAGCGGCAGCGAACAAAAGTGCCATCCCCTTAGAATATGTAAGCGACAGCACCCCCGGAATGCAGGTCCTCACCGCAAGCCTGTGCAGTGCAGCTTGCACAGGCAACGCCCGCAACGTGTGCTGGCTACTAGAAATGCGATGCCCAGCAAATGCACGCGTCGGCCGACACCTCCTGGAAGGTGAGTCCTGTCTCGTAACCAATGCCGAGAGTCAGTGCACAGCCTTAAACCTCGCAGTCAGAAGCGGCTCCGTCGCCGCCACCCAAGCACTCCTCCACGCCAAGGCCGATCCGAATCTCACCTTCGACGAGCTTGCCGCCCTGGACCGAGCTGCGCTGCACAAGGCACCAGCAACGATAATAGAATGCATACTAGCGGCCAGAGGCGAAGCGACCACGCCCACAGCGCACACGACATCTCCGCTGACCGGGGCGCATACCCGAGCGGCGAACCCGACAAGGCTCCTCAGCCCGGGGCCGCCTGCGGACTCGCAACCAAGCAATGCGCAAGACGTCAGACGGGCCACTGCTCACGTTGGTCCTTTCCCATGACATGTGAGACATGCTGACAGCACAGAGCTGGGAAAGAGTCGTTCGTTTCACACAACCTCTGCCGTGCGCCGGCTGCGAAAGAGCATCGCGACTGGCAGCTAAAGCAGCAGAAGGAAAAAGAGGATTCGGCTGCAAGCAGCAAGCCAACGACGCTGACATCGTGCGTGCAGCAAGAGCACACCAACCTTAACCCGGCACCGCAGCCCAATTCGTGATCGAGCCTCCAAAGCAGAAATCCGCTTCCTGAAGAACCATCTAGGCCGAAGCTGCTTCCGACAGTAAGAGAGAAAGAGCAGTCACGGTTCGCCCCCCCCCCCCCCCGCCCCTGCAGGTGAAGCCATCATGCAGCCCGAAAGCAGCCGACGGTGGGCCGACATGACAGACGACGACGATCAGGCGGGATCGCATGCGACACGCGCAGACGGCCCGACCCCGCCCGAAACCTCAACGGCCTCAGCGCACCGAACCACGAGGCGACCGGCTGGGACTTCGAAGCGTTCAAGAAGGACTACCTGGCGAGGAGATGCAGCCTGACACTTCTGACGCCCGTGCATGCCCCAGAGCCTCCGAAGAGAGAACCCGTGTATACACGCATGTATGTCGCGCAACTGCGCACCGAACCCACCGGCCGAGGGCGGAACAATCAAGATCGACGAGGCGCGCTGACACCTCGTGCCGTCGCCCTCAGAAATCCCAGGAAAGCACACGGGCATGCACGCACGAGGCCTGGAAAACCTCCCCGACAACCGCACCTCGACGGGACACGACCCCGCCCTCCGGCGCGAAGCCAAGAACACCCCGACGGAAGAAGGCATCACGGCCGGAATGCAAGTAAGGACTTGTGCCACGAGAAAAGCCATAGAAAAAAGAAAGCAAGCCGTACGCGGCATCGTGACCTGCAGGCCCCCAAAAAGCCACTGCCGCGCCAGCCACGATGGACGGCCGACGACGAGAGAGCCCTGGATCGTGCTTTCCAGCGAGCAGAGGCACCGGAGAGAAGCTACACCCCAAAGGCGCACAACACCTCCCCCGGCAAGCGTCTAGTCCCACTGTGTGCACAGGCCGACAGAGCCGCCGAGGCAACACCGCCAAGAAACGAAGCCGTGGAAGCGGCAAAGCTCGCAAGGAATGCCGCTGAACCATCTCACGAAGGACCGGCCGCGCGACGAGGGGGGGCCGAGGCGGGCTCCGACCACGACACGGAGCCCGGACCCAGCGTCGAGGCCGGCGTTTTCCCTCGAGCATCCACTCTCAAGAGCGCTCTTTAGGCAAGCAGACAATGCACCCGAGAGGAGCACTTTCGGGGCACGCTGGCCATCAAGAAGATGTCAGGCGACGGCAACTGCCTCTTCCACGCGCTCGGAGAGAACACCGGCGAGAGCGGGGCATGCCTCCGAGCCCTAATCATCCAGTACCTCAGAGAGAACGCAGAAGCCGAAGAAGACGAAGAGCAAGTGCAGGCCTGGCTACAGGAAAGCCAATACCTCCAAAGCGATCCGGGTCACTGGGGCGGCGACACGGCCATCATCGCTTTCACCCGCATGAGTGGCAACTTGCACGGGTCCCGGGTGGGTGCGGTAATTAAGCCCAGGACCCCGGGAATAAGCACATTTCGGTTACCGAGGGTGGGTTGTATGCACATGACCGTACAAAGCACACTGCCGTCATTGCGACCGAAAACGACCCACAAAACTGCTTCCAAACGAGCTGCGAGTGGTTGCTGGTGCTGCCCTTGCCACCACGAAAGAAACGTTTGATTTCAATGTTTTTGCCTCGTGGGGTCCATCTACATTTTCCACCTTAGGCTGTGGTTTATGCCGTTGCCCACGCACGACAAAGGTGTCTGATGTTTTGCAATCGGTTCTATCCAGTTGAAGCCTCAGGGAGGGCTTAGTGTAGGGTTTAAAGCTTTAGGGGCCCTCCCAAACTAAACTTAACCCTAGGGGCCTGGGCCCTAAACACTGTAAGCCGAACCCTTAAGCCTCAAGCCTGCTCAAACCGTAAAAAGTTTTTGTCGGCCGTCTTTTTTCCCCAGCGCCATGAGCCTCATGTTTAAAGGTTTGGAGATTCATGGCCTTAGGGCTTAGGCCTCAGGCTTAGGGGGTGAGGGGTCACCGTCGGAATCTCAAACCTTGCGTAGGCGCAAACGTACTCAGGATGCAGGATCCAGGCTGCAGCTTGTGAAGCTTTCAAACTGAGATTTCGCAACTTGAGGGCGCTTAGGGCAAAGTTTGGGCCTCCAGTGGGTTAGTGGCAAGTGTGTAGAGACTAGGTGACTAGGTGGATATAGTATAGAGGTATGCGGTTATGTCGGTTATTCGGATTCTGGGTTCTAAACAAGTGCCAGTCAGTAGGCTCAAGGCACCTGGAGGGGGCAGGCAGGTCGGGTCAGGACAACACCAAAAAAACAACAAGAACGGCAAAAACTCGTGCCTGGCAAGCTGATTGACCCGACATACATCGCAAATCGTTTATGTTGCAAGCCTGTCCTTAATTACCGGGGTCCGGCCTTAATTACCGGACCCCGGCCTTAATTACCGACCCCCCCTCGGTAATTAAGGTTTTGGACCGGCCTTAATTACCGGACCCCGGCCTTAATTACCGACCCCCCCTCGGTAATTAAGGTTTTGGAAGCATGTTTTGGTGCATTTTCGAGCGCTGACCCCCTCATTTTGACGGGGTCAGCGCTCGAAAATGCACCAAAACATGCTTCCATAACCTTAATTACCGAGGGGGGGTCGGTAATTAAGCCCGGACCCCGGTAAATAAGGCCGGTCCAAACCTTAATTACCGAGGGGGGGTCGGTAATTAAGGCCGGGGTCCGGTAATTAAGGCCGGACCCCGGTAATTAAGGACAGGACCCCTGTAATTAAGGATGGATCTCGGGAATTAGACCGGATCCAGGCGCAGGGCTTAATTACCGGACCGCTCTCGGTAATTAAGGTTTTGTGCGGCCGAAGGCAGGGCTTCGAGTTTAGAGTTGAGGGATCAGGGTTTAGGGTATGGGGTTTAGGTTTAGGGATCACGGTTTAGGGTTTGGAGATCAGGGTTTAGGGCAATTTAGGGTTGAGGGTATGAGGTTTGTAGGGCTTAGGAATCAGGGCTGATCAGGGTCCAGGTTTTAGTGAGATTAGGGCGATTAGGGCTAGGGTTTTTAGGCTTCGAGTTTAGGGTTTGGCTCCATTGCAGCAGAAACAGGAACAGGTAACAGGTACAGGTAGTAACAAACCACCCGCAATTCTAATTTAAACCCATAAGCCCTGGCCCTTGACGAATCCATAAACCTCAACTGCCTCAACTGTTGATCTCCTCAAAAAGGAGCCTGCTGTTGCTGCTGTTGGGGATTAAGGGTGCTTTTTGAGTGTTGGCACGGAAGGGCACACGATAGCGCGAATTCGTTGTCGAGACATCTGTCTGTGCGACGACGACAATTTCCTGATGATTCCTGATGATGCAATGATGCGCTGATAACATGGAACAAGCCAACAGACGACACATCACGGGCCAATGCGGCTCAAAACTTGAATTTCCGCCTGCAGTTCAAATTTTGACGCAAACGTTAGGGTGGGCATGAAAATGGTCCAGTCCCTAGTCCTGTTTGGATGCAATCCGTCGTCGTAGTCCTCATCCTGTCCATCACATATCAAGGCCGTTTGAAAAACACACGCGCAATTTTGCTGCGTTCAACACCGAGCCCCTCTGGACCGGAACATCACTGAAAACCCACGTGCAGCACGAGCCCGGGGCTTAATCACCGACCCCCCCGGGACCCGTGCAAGTTGCCACGCATGAGGCAGCAGCGAGTCCTTTTGCACTGGCGGACGCCAAACGGCGACATCCTCACGAGCGAGCGCACGCACTCGGACGTGGACGAAGCAGCCCAACGCGGGCCGCACGCAGCACCGAACGCCACGGAAGTGATCCATCTCTGGTACAACGGCAGGGACCACTACGACCTGCTGGTGCCCATAGACCGAGCACCGCCACCAGCACCACCACTGCCACCACCACCACCACCACCACCACCACCCCACCCGATTCCGCGCCCAGCCAAGCGCAGAAGAACCGCCGCCGGCGGAGAGGAGGCCCATCAACAGGCCCAGGCGCGCAAGACGCCGTCGAAGCCGGCGACACGACCGCCCGAGCCAGAGGCACAGGACGAGCCCAACCTCCTGGAAGAGCTCACCAGCATGCCCGTGGCGCCGGACAGCAGCCACCCCCGGCGGAAACTGGAAGAGGCTCTCCGGCACCTCGCACACACCCAGCTGCGAGCCCAGCCGCTGATACCGCCCGGAGCCAGGCCCGAAGACCTCGACCGTGGGGAACCCTGGCCAGGACAGTTCTGCGCCTTCCAGAGCTGCAACTGGTCATTGCTTACGGGCACCGAGCAAGAGCTTCGAGAGCACGTCCAGCAAGAGCACGCAACAGCACTGCAGAGCGTCGCACAGCACCTACCCAAGCCAATCCCGGCCGATGCACTGGCCAGCGTCTACAACGAAGCCATAGCCCTGCGGTGCAGAGAGGCCGCACCCGTGGCAGGAAGCTCGCGGGACAGAAGCGCGCTGCGGAGCTTCGCCGAAGCCACCAGCAAAGACAGGGTGGAAGCGATCATTTGCTTCTGCTGCGCATGCATCCACACACGCGTGGCCGACGCCGAGGCCGCGGGCCCCATCCGCTGGCGCAGGCTCATCCAGGGTCCCCCCAGCAACGACAGGACCCACGCCGAGACAACCGAACGTCTGCACGACATCCTGAGCATCGACAAGTACCTGGGGCTCTACGACGACCTGGCCGGGGACGTCAAGCTCACCGACGTGGCCGAGCTGAACGAGTGGACCGTGACCATCCCCGGGCTCGGCGACATACTCTGCTGCCCAGAAGACCACCGCTGCCACGCCAATCCCCAGCACCCAAGCCAGCACACGCTCTGCGAGCACTGCGAGGTGCCCCTCTGCCGCGACTGCGCGCAACACTTGGACAACGGCCAGCTGCCGCCCCTGAGCTTGTGCAATGACATGTGGACAGGCTACTCCCCGGCGCGCCTGCACGAAGAGAAGGTCACAGTGATGGAAATGATCTGCGCAAGCCCCTGCGTGACGACCCTGGTGTGCATGTCCATGGAAGCGCGGCACCGCAGCGAAGGGACCACCTTAGACGAAAAAGCCCAGAACGCCCGTCACCGCCTGGGCGCGCGCGGCAACGCCCTCACCTTTCCCCTCCCATGGGAAGACCTCCTGCGCAACCTAGAGGCACACCACGCAGAAGTTGCGGAGCAGGACCAAGCGGGAGCGGCAGCACCCCCCAGCCTGCCGCGCACAGGCAAGGCGCTCGCCGAGGTCGCGAGGGTGCTCCTCAAGACGAACAAAACGGGCAAGACGAGCGAGACCGAGATCAAGACGCTGCTCCACCAGGCCACCGTGCGGAGAGACGTAGTCGTGAACCTCATCCACGACATGCAGCGCCTCGGGCATCCCGCGTTCCAGCACCTGCGCATGGCGGATGTGCGGGAGGCAGCATCACAGCTGCCAGAGGGCGGCGTGCCGCCGGAAGTACTCAAGATCATTTCCGGCCTGAGCGAGGACGACGAGACCGCCCACAAGCTGCAGCCGCAGAAGGCCGCCGCCCCGACGGACGCGCCGGAGCAGGACATGCAGCGGGCCGGCGCCATCTTCGCCGACCAGCGAGCCCGGGCCGTCGTGCCGGAAGGCTGCAGCACGGACCGCGAGGACCAGAACGCCGTGGCCACGGCCGCACTCAACGACCTCCAAACCCAGCTCCGCAGCAACGAAGAGAACGAGAAGGTCCTCGAGACCATGGAGGTGCGCACCGGCAACATCTTGGTGGACCAGTTCCAGCCGCTCTACTTCGCCACGGCCTTCAGCTTCTGCTTCGCCCACGGCACCGCCTGTCCGGACGTCCAGAACAGCAACAGCACAGCAAGCAACCGGGCGTCAGCGCAAGGACGCCGCCGAGACAAGAACCCGGAGGCCCCCCAAGTGCAGATCTTCGAATGGGCAACAGCCATGCAGCGCCGGGCAGAAACCCAATTCAGGCGAGACTGGAGCTTCGGCTTCACCCTCTGGAACTACCTCTTCAGGACCATGGTGAACACCCAGGGGAACGCCTTCATCTACAGCGTCGCCGACGAGAACCACGAGAGCAGGGCCCTGACCACCAAGGAGATCCTGGAGGGGCAAAAGCAGATCCAGCAAAAGCTCCTCAGAGGCCAGTACCTCGACATCAACAACCAGCTGAAGCCCATCAACGGAGACCTCACCAAACTACGCTTCGTCCCAGGGCTCTCAGAAGCAGCCCTGAAGGCTCGAAGCTCGTGCAAAGAAAATCCTATAAAGCACGGACCCACCCGCAGTGCAAGCCTCCCATCCTTCGCCGCCTGAAACCCCGTAGAGAGCAAGCAAGTGCCGTGACGCGCGCCGTAGAAGGCCACACTCGGAGCAGGCAAGCTACCAAGAGCCAGGTTACAACGAGTGCCCAAAGCAAGCCCGACAGCGGTGCCAGGTCCTGGACAACACGGAGGCGCGCAGTCGAAACATCCCGGGCACGCACGAGGTGCGCAAGACCATGCGCCTCCAAACCCACGCCAATCGGATATGCCACGGCACCCCGATCTTCGTGACCTTCTCCCCCTCAGAGCGCGACAGCACGGTGATGCTGCGCCTGGCCCGCGCCCGGCAGTCCGACCCCAGCCTCGGCCCAGAGGACACCACCACCCGAAGAGCCCAGGGGCGCAGCAAGCCGGAGCTGGACGTGGAGTTCTACAGCCTCAACCCAGAAGCCCTCGCCGCCGAGCTGCCGCCCTACGACGCTCGCCGGGCCATGCTCACCAAGGATCCCGTGGCCTGCGCCGACGGCTTCCGCACCCTCGTGCAGCTCGCGCTGCGCCACCTCTTCGGCGTCCGCTACTGCCCCCAGTGCCCGAATTGCAGCAAGTCCAAAACACCCTGCGCGGACGCCTTCGGCAGCAACGCCATGGCCTGCGGCGGGATCTTCGGCCGCATCGACGCCGCGTTCGGGTCCATCGAAAGCCAGAAGTCCGGGGTGCTGCACGTCCACTTCCAGGCACGCCGGCACAGTCATGAGAGACAACCAAAGAAAGGCCATGCGACACCGAAGCCACCGCCGCCCCCTGTGCAGCTCTTCCTCCAGTGCTTCCACCAGTTCAAGTCCCTCGCGGAGCTGCAGGCCCTGGGTCCCGCACGCAAGCAAGAACTCTTCCAGAAGTACTGCACCTACACGGCCCACGTCAGCCGCACCATCTACCGGGACCCGCAAACCTGGGAGAAGAAGCGCCCGGAAACGGAGGAGCAGTGGCCCGCCTACCGCGACTCCTACCTGGCCCTGAGCCGCCCGCACTACCAGAGCACAGACGCGTCCACGGACGCCACGACCTGGCGACGGCTCTATCTCGACGAGGACGTGGAGGCCCTGCAGCAGCTGAAGCAACATCACGTGCACCTTCCCAAGACGACGAACGGTCCGCGGCTGCCGCTCGACCACTGCCGCGACAAGAAAGACCCCACGAAGTGCAAGGCAGGCTTCCCTCGCGAGAAGCAGCTGGTGGACAGCACGACACTCGTGTGCGAGGGACTCGCAGAAAAGATGGGCATGCCGGTCAAGGGCAAGCGCAGCGCCCTCGGCCGTCTCTGGGGGCCTTGCAACGACCCGAACCTCAACGGCAACCACCCCGCGCTGCTGGCCGCCCTGCGCTGCAACGGCGACGTCCAGCTGCCCTACCGCTTCCCGATCACCGATGACCTACACGACGCCGCCGGCCGCTGCACGCGAGACTGCCCGACGAAGAGCAGCCTGCGGGAGATGACCTACCAGGCCCAGCTGAACCAAGCAGCGCAGGCAGGCTATGCATGCGACTACCAAAACAAGCGGAACCCCATCGCGGTCAACGAGGTCCAAGAGTGGAACAAGAGCCACAAGGACCTGGAGACCGAACTGCGGAACAACTCCTCCGCCGGCTACGTGGGAGCCAGAGCCTCGAAGCGCCTCATGACGGACGCCTTCGCCCGGGGCGTGGTCCGAGGCTCCGTGGAGTGCACCAACCTCATCGACAACGCCGGCCACAGCGACCCCACCGCCGCGGAAGCCATCAAGACCGCAGCACTCGCGGACATGTCCCTCCAGATGGGCCTCGAGCTCATGCAAGCCGCCACCGAAGGCCGGCCGCTGCCGACAGAGCGCGCAAAGATCCAGAGCGACCTCAGTGGGTGGGTCGACAGACCCGGCAACAAAAGCAAAAGGAAGCTCGTCGCCCAGCCACAGCTGTGGACCGTCTACGGCAACCGCGGCACGGACCCCAGAGTGCAGCCCCTCTCGGCCTTCGAGTTCGCGCGGTACTACCACATCCAGCCAGTCAGGTATCCATGGTCCCTAAAGCAGCAGGAGGAGGCCGCCGCCGCTGATCGCGAAGCAGCCGCCGACAACGACATCGCCTACCACGCCCTGCTGACGGACAAAGGCAAGGAGAAGCTCGGCAAGAAACTCGGACGTCGACTTCTGCAGGGCGGCACGGACTACCTGATCCGAGAACAAGGCGGGGAAAACTGGATGCCGCTGGGCAACGGCAACCGCGTGCGGAAGCATCGCCACGACTGGGTCATCGTCCCACGCAAGCGGCCGCACGTGCCGGTCCTCTACGGTGCGCTCGGCAGCCGCAGCGAGGAGGAGCACATCATGAAGATCCTGCTGCTCTTCTGTCCCTGGACCAGCAACCCACACGAGGCCACCGAAGCCGTCCCGTACGTCGGCCACCTCCGCACGACGGACATGAGCAGCTGGCGCCAGGCGCTGCAATGCGCGTGGAAGCACGCCGGGGGCTTCCCCACCGAGGAGCTGAAGCGCTACGTCCTGAACTACGCCTTCGTGTTCAGCCTGCCCCGAGACCTACAGCCCGACATGGAACTGGCAGCCAACAGCGACAACGAAGATCTCCAGGACCAAATCTACAACTTCGACGCAGACGAGCTGCAGGAAGCCAGCAAGACACACGTGCGGGGCGCAGGCAAGCAAGGGGCTGCGGGCGCCGAAGAGGAGGCACCGCCCAACCAAGCAGAGGAGCCGCCCGCCACAAGCACCCAGCACGACCTCACCGTGCAAATGCTGAACCTCTCCCACAACGTCTGGCTGGGCGAAGCCTCCACGGCATCCGACATGCCGCGCGAAATGGCCGAGCAACTCCTGGAAGACGCCAAAGCAAGCACGGGGGTCGACGACGCCACACGCATGCTGGCAGATGCGGAAGCCTCGCGCAACAAGAGAGAGGCAGAAACGCCGGCAGACGCGCCCGGCCTAGCCGGAAGCCGCCGGGCCACCACGAAGCGCACCGCCAAGATCAGCAACGTCCAGCTCTGGGCGTGGCTCGAGAGCAACGAAGTGCGAAGCACGATGAACGCGGAGCAGCACGAATTCCTCAAACTCGTCGTAGAGCGCGTGCTGGTGGAGTACAACCTAGTGCCACCAGAGAACACACTCAGACGCAGTGAGGAACCGCTGGTCTGGCTGCTACACGGCCGTCCAGGCACCGGCAAGACCCACGTGCTGAAGTACGTGCGCAAGCTCTTCGAGGAGCTCCTCGGCTACGAGCAGGGCATCGACTACCAGTTCGCCGCCTTCCAGGCCACCAACGCCGCAGACATCGAGGCGAGACACTCCACACGGCCTGCGGCCTCAGCAAAGACAGAGACTGCCTGGAGACGACCTGCAGCCCGCAGACAGCGCGGCGCATGGCTTACTGGCGCTGGCTCATCGCAGACGAGGTAGGCATGATCAGCGCCCGACTGCTAGCCCAGGTGGAGACCCGCACACGGAGCACCGTGCCGAGCGCCAACCAATGGAAGTGCGACGCCGGCGGCAACGTCAGACCCTTCGCCGGCATCAACGTGATCTTCAGCGGCGACTTCCGGCAACTGCCTCCGCCCGAAGGAGGCTTCCTCGCCGACCTCCCCCTGAAGCTACAGGCGCCCGGCAAGACCGCGACGGGAGGCCCAGAGCGCGACCCCCTGGTGGACCACGGCCAGGCCCTCTTCTGGGAGGGCGCAGTGCAAGGAGTGACGGAGCTGCACCAGAGGATCAGATGCAAAGACGACTGGTGGAACCAGGCGCCCGAGGGAGCAATTGAGCGCAGCGACCGCGCAAGCAGATTAAAACACAAAAGCATCTAAGAGAACATCGCACACGCCCGATGCCCCCCCCCCCCTCCGGCCAACAACACGCTCTCGGCATGCAACAAAACAAAAAAACAACGAAAAGCACTGGTACAGCCTCCTTCCACCGACCCGCTCCGCAGGTCGTGGACGAGCTGCGCGATGGGATGCTGTCCGAGGACAACCACAGCTACCTCCACGGCAGGCCAGTCGAAGGTTGCACCCTCACGCGCGAAGAGCGACGCTCCAGAAAGCGAGTGGTGGATGGGCCCGAAGACGCACGACTCAGAGAGCCCAAATTCGTGCACGGGCCTGTGGTCGTGCCGAACAACGACGCCAAGTACCAGATCAACAAGGACCGCGCCAAGGCCTACGCCCGGGATGCGGGCAGCCGGCTAGTCTGGTCCGTGGCCAAAGACAAGGCCGGTGCGGAAGCGCTCCAAGCCCAGGCGTGCGACAAAGAAGCGAAGGTCCGCTGGCTGCAGTACCACGACATGCACACGGAAGGGCTCTGCGGAATGCTTCCCCTGGCCATCGGCATGCCCGTCGCGCTGACGCACCACGTGGACCGCTCCAAGAAGAAGCTGCTGAAGGGCCGCACAGGGCACGTCCACTCCTGGGTCTGGCACGAGAACGACCAACAGCCGAGCATCGTGCGCCCCGGCGGCAGTCGATAGCTGCGAGAGCACACCCCAACAACAACAACAACAACAACAACAAAAAACAACAGGACGCGGCCGTGTGCCGCGGTCGTCTACGGCCCGTGAATTCGAGTCCCCGGCCAACGACAACAGCCCGGGGGAAAGGGGAAATCAGGGGCCCGATCCTGCACCCGCCTCCGCTTACGTAGCCGGCATCACAAGCGAGGTTCGTCAAGATCGGCAAAGCCGACTGGACCCTCAACGGCACGAAGGTGCGCGGTCTCTATCCCATCCGGCCGATTTCCCGCACCTGGAAACTGGACAAAGGCCGCAAGAAGCCCGTGCTGAAAGTCAAGCGCACGCAGATCCCGCTGACCCCGGCCTTTGCAATGACGGCCCACATCAGTCAAGGCAAGACGCTGCCGCTCGGCCGCACACAGAAAGGATCCAAACCACACACACACACACACACACAGTAGGCGACAGTCGTGACGCCCGCCGCACAGGACGGCCGTGATGCTGGACCTGAACGTGGACTCCAAAATTCACGCCGCCTACGGCACGGTAGTGGCGAGCCGCGTGCGCGACAGATCCGACGTGCTGATCCTGCGGCCGTTCCCACTCTGGCTCTTCCGGCGCGGCGCAACGGAGGGTCCCACGTTGCTCCTGAAAAAGCTCCGAGGCGAAGAGATCGACTGGAAGGCCATGCACGAAGCACGCTGGCCGAGGGCCCGGTGCCAAACATGCAAGGAGCTGAAGAGCTGGGACCTCTTCACGCACGCAGAGTGGGAGCTGCAGCGGGCCAACCGCGGCGGCCAATGCATGCCGTGCCAAAAGCTTGGAGCCGTCAACAGCAAAGGCCCCCTAAAACGAAGCATCAACGCACAGAAAGCCCTGGCCCGGAGCCTCCCGTGCAACCGCTGCCAGTTGATCAAAGTGGAAGAGGCGTTTCCAAGAGCGCAAGTAGCCCAGGCAAACGCAGACACGAAGCGCCAGTGCTCAGAATGCCGGCTCGCCGCGACCCAGCTGAACTGCACCAGCTGCAACAAACGGAAGCCAGCCACAGACTTCAGCCTCCAGATGCGAACCATGCCGGACGACGCCCTCGCCTGCATCGACTGTCAGGGAAAGCTCTCCAACAAAGCCAAGCGCCTGCGCGCGGGCTGGTTCATCTGCAGGGGCTGCAAAGAAAGCTTCCCCCAGCAAGCAGCCGCAGAACAGTCCGTCGACGGAAGGCACTGCCTGAACTGTTCCAGGCGCACAAACAGGCAGACGGGATGGACGACATGCAGAGCCAGAAACTGCCGAGAGAAGTTCCAAAGCACGGAGCAGGGGCTGTGCCCGAAATGCAGACCCCGCGAACGCCCCGCGCGGCGCAGCAAGACCAGCAAAGACTGAGCGGAAGCCGCCTCTCTGGGTGAGGCAGCCATACCGGTTTCACGCCCCGTCCAGCACGGCCGCGCGCCCGGCGCAGAGAGAAAAAAAGGGCCGATCAGAGACGCGCACATGCAATGAAGCGCAGTCACAGGCACGGTACACCTGACATGCACAGGTCTCCTGCAAAGGGTGAGCTGGAGAGACGCTCCGTCAGCCGCCCCCTGCACCCGGCCCCCCCCCCCACCCACCCCCACTCGCGCCGGTCCGTCCCGGCCAGAGCAACTGTGAAGGCACGACTCGCAGAGCAAGGCCGTCTGGCTCAAGCACACACCCATGCATGCTGCTCCGCACCCACTGCCGCAACGCACGAGCCGTCAGTCATCGCAGAAACACAGCAACAGAAGCCGAGGTAGGAGAAGACGCCACACGGCGCGCCCGGGACCCTCGCAAAGCCGTACCAGCAAAGGCACTGCAGTCGAAAAGCACGAAGCCGACCAGAGAGCCACAGCAAAAGCATCAGAGGATAAAACCCACCACACAGAAGGGGCAGCAGCAAGTAAGAGGAGTGGCCGCCAAGCGCCATGGCACCGCGGACAAGCAGCCGCGGCGCCAAACGCGCCGCAAGGCCCAAGGGGCAGCGGCTCGAGCAACGCCGCCAACTGGAACAGCGATACTCAGCCGTGCTGGCAAACCAGCCCGCCGCACAGATTCTGCTGCCGAACCCACACGACAGGAACACAAGCGCGGCCCACTGGCGACTCGAGATTTCGCGAGCAACGCGCCTGCTGGACCTGCTCCAAGAGCCCGACCACGCCCAGCTACAAGAAGCCCTCAACACGGCATATGCCGACAGCTTCCAGGACGAAGACGAGTACCTGAAACAAGACATGCCCAAGACTGAATCGCCGGAACTGGAAAGCACCGCATGGGTCGAGGCCTTCCTCGAGCGGCTCCACGCCATCGTCATAATAACTCGGATGAAGCACAAGATCGAGCAGCTCAGCACGCCGGAAAGCCAAGATCACCCATGGGAGGCGCGCGTACGGCATCGCCAGACAGCACTCCATCGCTTGTTCCAGGCACATGCCACGCCAGTCCACCTTCACGACCCATTCCAGCGCCTCTTACCCCGGCCGGAAGACGAGTCCATCAGCAAGCGCGCCTGGGAGGACTGGCTGTTCGCCGTTCGACAGCTACTCCGACTCGTACCTCAGGGAGACCGCATTGGATCGCACAGCTTCGTGCTGCACCACTTCGACGCAGCACTACGACGGGATCCCAGGCTGCGCAAGGCGCTACCGCAACCAGAGACCGCCACGGACACGAGGATGGACGCATGGCAACACGCCTTCCTCGGCGCAGTGGAGGCCATTGTCACAGCCAACCAAAGTGCGGCTCAAGAGAACAGGCAAGCAGTACGAGCACGAGGGACTCCTCGGACTGCGAGTCCCACAGCAGCAACAACGACTGAAAGAGCAAGCACCGTCATGGAAAAGAACAACCGTGCCCCCAAACATCGAGACACGGCGGCGCGAGCAAAAGACGGCACACAGGAAGTGCACAACGAAGACATGCAGCACAGCGAGCCAAGCCAATGCAAACACCACTGAGAGCCGGGCTCTAGCAAGTGTCACCCCACCGAAGATTGCTGGGAGAGAGCCGGAAGACGAGAGGACAAGCGCTGTACAGACAATCCGCTGCCGCTACCGCCCGGAGAGCAAAAGCCCGCCTGCACATCAACAGCCACCAAAGATCGAAGCTGAACACTTGAGATGAACACGCTCAAGTAATGGAACCCTTGCGCCCCGACACCTGCCTGCCTACATGCAAGACCTAAAGAAAAAGACCGACCCACCACCGGGCACCCCCCCCCGCGATTCCGCAGCACGCTTTCGGCTCAGAAGAAGATCAAGCACAAGAAAGAACACGCGAACCGCGGAGGTGCGCTGAAAGCCAGACGGAGACGCGCGGAACACAGCCGCCCGTCCGCTCCTCTGAAGCGCCCAGGTCAGAACATGCAACTGAAAGGCTCAGACGCCGTAGACAGACATGACGGACAATCCAGTCTGATAGCTCGCCATGTATGGAAGCGATAAATGGAAAAGGCCCTAGCCACACAGAACGAAGCCCAGAGCATCCGAGTACTGCACTGTCCACACAGAATGAAGCCCAGACCATCCGAGTACCGCACTGGCCACACAGAATGAAGCCCAGAGCATCCGAGTACTGCACTGGCCCCACAGGATGCAGCCCAGAGCATCCGAGTATTGCCCTGACCATGCACAACGAAGAGCATCCAAGTACTGCACTGGCCACACAGAACCAAGCCAAGAGCATCCGAGTACTGCACTGGCCACACAGAATGAAGCCCAGAGCATCCGAGAACGGCACTGGCCACACAGAATGGAGCCGAGAGCATCCCAGTACTGCACTGGCCACACAGAACCAAGCCCAGAGCAGCCGAGTACTGCACTGGCCACACAGAACCAAGCCCAGGGAATCCGAGTACTGCCATGGCCATGCACAACGAAGAGCATCCGAGTACTGCACTGGCCGCACGGAAGACCCTCTTGCAGGCTCTTAGAGGGCTGTAGCCCACTCTGAAACCTCTGAGAGAGCAGACAAAGAGCCTCTGTGGGCTGGGGAAAATTTCACCAGCACCCTTCAGAGCCTTTGAGAAAGAAGCAACAGCTCCTCTGTGGGCTGGGGAAGACCCTCTTGGAGGCTCTGAGAGGGCTGTAGCCCAGTGCCAAGACCCCTCTTAAAGCCTCTGAGAGAGGCTCTTAAAGCCTCTGAGAAAGCAGCAAAAGCTCCTCTGTGGGCTGGGAAGACCTTCTTAGAGGCTCCGAGCACTGCCAAGACCCCTCTTAGAGCCTCTGAGAGAGCAGACAAGATGCTCTGTGGGCTGGGAACCCTTCTTAGAGCCTCTGAGAGAGGCTCTTAGAGCCTCAGCGAGAGCTCTCCAGAGACCAAATGAAAGGCCTTCACCACCTTGCTCTCCCTTCTTAGACCCTCTGAGAAAAGCTCTTAGAGCCTCTGAGAGAGCTCTCCAGAGTCCAAATGAAAGGCTTTCACCACCTTGCTCTCGTCGCCCAAAGCCTTCTCCCGTGCCAGGAATCGTTTGACCTGCTTCTTTGCCGTTTCCAGTATCTGCTTAGGGCTGGGGAAGACCCTCTGAAAGGCTCTGAGAGGGCTGTAGCCCGCTGCCAAGACCCCTCTTGGAGCAGCTTAGTGAGTCTCTGAAAGCCTCTGAGAGAGCAGCAAGGCGCGCTCTGTGGCCTGGGGAAGACCCTCCGAGTACTGCACTGGCCACACAGAATGACGCCCAGGACATCCGAGTACTGCGCTGGCCACACAGAAAATGAAGCCCAGAGCATCCGAATACTGCACTGGCCGCGCAGAACCAAGCCCAGAGCATCCGAGTACTGCACTGGCAATACAGAATGAAGCCCAGAGCATCCGAGTATTGCGATGGCCACACAGAATGAAGCCCAGGGCACTCGAGTACTGCACCGGCCATGCACAACGAAGAGCATCCGAGTACAGCCCAGAGCATCCGAGTACTGCACTGGACACACAGAATGAAACCCAAAGCATCCGAAGACTGCACTGGCCACACAGAATGAAGCCCAGAACATCCGAGTACTGCGCTGGCCACACAGAATGAAGCCCAGAGCATCCGAATACTGCACTGGCCGCGCAGAACCAAGCCCAGAGCATCCGAGTACTGCACGGGCCATAGAGAATGAAGCCCAGAGCATCCGAGTATTGCGATGACCACACAGAATGAAGCCCAGAGCATAAAGGGTGCACGCAGGGCTCTCGATAGGCACTCCTACCATACGAACGGGTTAAGGTGCCCTGAAATCTTAGGGTTGGAGGGATAGGAAAGGTGGGGTGGTACAGGACTCCCAAAGCATACAACTTTTTGAAAAGGAAGCCCAGAAAGGGCTGTGGTGCCCTTAGCTGTGGGGCCCTTGGGTAAGGAAGCCCAGAGAGGGCTGGTGTGGCCCTGGCTAAGGAAGCCTACTATTAGCTATTGTAATTGAAGAAATCTTGATTTCCTTAGGACTTCTCCATATAATTACGATTATCATTTCCCACATAATATTTGTTGAATATTGGAATATTTATGCGTGCTTATGTATGAGATTCATTCGCTTAAGGGCGCGAGATTAGGTCTTCTCGTGGGTGCAAGTGAAGCCAGAAATAGAGTGAAAGGCTTCTCCAGTGTGGTCTTGGGTAAGGAAGCCCAGAGAGGGCTGTGGTGCCCTTGGGCCCAGAGAGGGCTGTGGTGCCCTTGGGTACGGAAGCCCAGAGAGGGCTGTGGTGCCATTCAGTAAGGAAGCCCAGAGAGGGCTGTGGTGCCCTTGGACCCAGAGAGGGCTGTGGTGCCCTTAGGTAAGGAAGCCCAGAGAGGGCCGCTTGGGTAAGAAAGCCCAGAGAAAGCTGCGGTGGCCTTGGGCCCAGAAAGGGCTGTGGTGCCCTTGGGTAAGCAAGAGAGGGCCGTGGTGCCCTTGGGCCCAGAGAGAGTTGTGGTGCCCTTGGGTGAGGAAGCCCAGAGAGGGCTGTGGTGCCCTTGGGCCCAGAAAGGATTGTGGTGCCCTCGGGTAAAGAAGCCCAGAGAGGGCTGCTTGGGTAAGGAAGCCCAGAGAGGGCTGTGGTGCCCTTGAGCCAAGAGAGGGCTGTGGTGCCCTTGGGTAGAAAGCCCAGAGAAGGCTGTAGTGCCCTTGGTGCCCTTGAGTAAGGAAGACCAGAGAGGGCTGTGGTGCCCTTGGGCCCAGAGAGGGCTGTGGTGCTCTTGGGTAAGGAAGCCCAGAGAGGGCTGTGGTGTTTTTGGACCCAGAGAGGGCTGTGGTGCTCTTGGGTAAGGAAGCCCGGAGAGGGCTGTGGTGCCCTTAGGCCCAAAAAGGGCTGTGGTGCCCTTGAGTAAGGAAGCCCAGAGAGGGCTGCTTGGGTAAGGAAGCCCAGAGTGAAGGCCCAGAGAGGAATGTAGTGCCCTTGGGTAAGAAGCCCAGAGAGCCCTTGGGCCCAGAAAGGGCTGTGGTGCCCTTGGGTAAAGAAGCCCAGAGAGGGCTGCTTGGGAAGGAAGCCCAGAAAGGGCTGTGGTGCCCTGAGGCCCAGAGAGGGCTGTGGTGCCCTTGGGCACAGCGGCCCAGAGAGGGCTGTGCCGTTTGGCCCAAAGAGGGCCAGGGCTGCCCATGCATAAGGAAGCCCAGAAAGGGCTGGGTTGCCCTTGGGCCCAGAGAGGGCTGTGGTGCCCTTGGGTAAGGAAACCCAGACAAAACTGCAGTGCCCTTGGGTAGGGAGAGGGCTGTGGTGGTCTTGGGTAAGGAAGCTCTCTGGAGAGTGCTGTGGTGCCCTTGGGTGAGGAAGCCCAGAAATGGCTGTGGTGCCCTTGGGCCCAGAGAGGGCTGTGGTGCCCTTGGGTAATGGGAAGAAGCCCAGAGGGCTGTGGTGCCCTTGGGTAAGTGCCCCCCGAGAGAACGCACTCATAGACCTGGCTGGCTAGGAGCCCCGAAGCACCTCCCAAAGCCAAAGGGCCCTCAACACGCAAGGGCGCGAGAGTAGGTCTTCTCGTGGGTGCAAGTGAAGCCAGAAATAGAGTGAAAGGCTTCTCCTGTGTGGTCTTGGGTAAGGAAGCGAGAGGGCTGTGGTGCCCTTGGGCCCAGAGAGGGCTGTGGTGCCCTTGGGTACGGAAGCCCAGAGGCTGTGGTGCCCTTCAGTAAGGAAGCCCAGAGAGGGCTGTGGTGCCCTTGGACCCAGAGAGGGCTGTGGTGCCCTTAGGTAAGGAAGCCCAGAGAGGGCCGCTTGGGGAAGAAAGCCCAGAGAAAGCTGTGGTGGCCTTGGGCCCAGAGAGGGCTGTGGTGCCCTTGCGTAAGCAAGAGAGGGCCGCGGTGCCCTTGGGCCCAGAGAGGGTTGTGGTGCCCTTGGGTGAGGAAGCCCAGAGAGGGCTGTGGTGCCCTTGGGCCCAGAAAGGATTGTGGTGCCCTTGGGTAAAGAAGCCCAGAGAGGGCTGCTTGGGTAAGGAAGCCCAGAGAGGCCAGAGAGGGCTGTGGTGCCCTTGGGTAGAAAACCCAGAGAAGGCTGTAGTGCCCTTGGGCCCAGAGAGGGCTGTGGTGCCCTTGAGTAAGGAAGACCACAGAGGGCTGTGGTGCCCTTGGGCCCAGAGAGGGCTGTGGTGCTCTTGGGTAAGGAAGCCCAGAGAGGGCTGTGGTGCCCTTGGACCCAGAGAGGGCTGTGGTGCTCAGGAAGCCCGGAGAGGGCTGTGGTGCCCTTGGGCCCAAAGAGGGCTGTGGTGCCCTTGGGTAAGGAAGCCCAGGTAAGCAAGAGAGGGCCGTGGTGCCCTTGGGCCCAGAAAGGGTTGTGGTGCCCTTGGGCGAGGAAGCCCAGAGAGCTTGGGCCCAGAAAGGATTGTGGTGCCCTTGGGTAAAGAAGCCCAGAGAGGGCTGCTTGGGTAAGGAAGCCCAGAGAGGGCTGTGGTGCCCTTGAGCCAAGAGAGGGCTGTGGTGCCCTTGGGTAGAAAGCCCAGAGAAGGCTGTGGTGCACTTGGGCCCAGAGAGGGCTGTGGTGCCCTTGAGTAAGGAAGACCAGAGAGGGCTGTGGTGCC